CACCTTCCCAGGGCAGCCCACGGCTGCCCGTCTGCTTAGGCCCTTAGTCTCAAAAGTGCTACAAGATCTTTCTATATCCTGACATCTACACAGGGAGACATGCTCATTCCCACACCTTTCTCAAGGATGAGGAAGCTGCAAGGGGCATAACAGTTTCCAAAGTGAAATGCTTATAAGCAATGACAGAGCTCATAAACTTTGCTATCACACACAGTATATAATATGCTAACATCAAAGTGCAGATTTATCCCTGGCTCCTGTTTGGTGGCACTTGCTACCATTTACAAAAGTCCGTGCGCTTTGTCTAGTGAAAGAAGCAGAATAAAAAGTAGTCCCAGGATCATCATTAAAGCCAGACAGAAAGAAACCTCTGTATGATCACCTTTACCATGTATACTGAGCACTCTGAAAATTTATCCCTGTAATCTAGAAGTGATCATTATTTTGAAGATGACAGGTAAATGGCTAGGAGCAGATGATGTTTCTAACATATAACAGATGTTGTGTAACCTTCCGGTGATGCAATAATACCCAAATTTAAAGAGCAGGCATGCTACCTAAATCCTAAACTCCTAAATATCTTCCAGATAGGCATGCTACCTAAATCCTAAATCTTAAACTCCTAAACCCATAAGCTCAGCCTCTGCTGACAGAAACAATTTTATAATGATAATGAGGATGGCTGAGGGAAAAGAGCAAACTATCTGTGCCACATCCTGGAGGTACTAGCCCCGACAGACCCACTGTTGAGAGAGTTCAGAAAATTTTAGAAGCATCTGGGACGCCTTTGAGCATCTCTTCTTGTTGCCATTCACAGTACCTGCTATAAGATAAGCTTGTCCTTGGGTGAAGAAAAAAAATCTTTGACAACTGAAACTAAACAGTTCTCCAGGAAATATGGACATAACGAAAGGAGCCCCAGATTTGAACACAGTCTACATATAGGAAGCACCCATTTCAGTCTCTGGCAGGGCTGCATGATGAGTGGGGATGTGGGCTTTCCCACCCCAGTAAGACTTCTGCTTCTCCAATGAAATTTTCCTTCAGTCCCCAAATTTCTAGCATTGCAATAATTTAAAACTTTAATTGAGCATTTAGAACCGTGATGGCGAACCTATGGCATGCAAAGCCATTTCCCCTGGCACGCGGAGGGCAGGGAGGAGGAGGAAGAGGTGTGCACCTGTTCCTCTTCCTTTCCAAACTTCTCCGGCCTTTAGCTGCCTCTCTGGACAGCGCAGGGGGAGGAGAAGGAACGGGCGTGCACCTATTCCTTTTCTTCCCCCCTGGCCTCTGGAGAGGCAGCTGAAGGCCCAGGAGGGCGAGGGGAAGAAGTCCCACCTTGGAAGTCCCATTCTTGGAAGGCAAAAGTCCCACCTCCATCAGCAGGTAACACCTGGTGCCAGAAGACCTTTTAGTTTGGGCACTTGGCCCCTAAAAGGTTCACCATCGCTGATTTAGAAATGCAGTTTAAGCATCCAAAAAAAACAGATGTTACAAATACGGATACGGAAGGAAAATTTCATTGTGGGGCAGAATGTTATGGGGGGAGGATTGGCCACATTTTTGCTCCCCTCCCATAGCTATACTCCTGTTCCCTGGCATCTCCATATAAGAAGTGCCTACAGTCTCAAGGATAGGAAGGACTCCTACCCATGGTCTTGGGAGAATGCCAACAGTCAGAAAAGATACCATTGGCTCATAGATGAAGCAAAGAAATACTGGTTTAAGCTCCTATGAGCTGCCTCTTAATATTCTTTTGGTGACAAGTTGCTACCGTACTTATGTGGATAAGAGTTTCCAGAAACAAAGTCCATATTATTTTCAAAGATACAGCCGTCACCTGAAGTCTAACTGAAGTCTCAAAGGTACTGGAAGGCCCCTTTGCATCCATGTTATTTTATTATATTTATTTATATGCCACCTGTTTCGATACTGCCATTGTGGGAGAAAGGCAGGATATAAATCTTTGAAATGAATAAAATAAATACTGCCTTACAGAGTATCTTACAAATCCTCATGCTATTAAAGTTTCACTTAATCAGGCAAAGCAATAAAATCACAACATGACACACAAAGCAGCTGAACAGCCTTCTTTGAAATTTTACAGAATGGGCAGAAAAAACCAAGGAAGAGGGAAATAAAGAGTGAAGCAAGCCTCCAAAATGGTACTGGAAAATGTAATAAAGCTTCAATAAAACAGTCCATTGTTCTGGTGGCCATGCTGGCCAGGGATCATGGGAACTGGAGGGCAAAAAAGTTATTTTTTCCAAGCTCTGCTCCCCAGGTGTTGGCAATGGGAGCCAGCCCTTAGTGTGACCAAATAAATGACTGGCATGAATTCATGGAATCATGGGGAGGGGATATCACTGGTGCATCTTATACCTCCAAAGGTGGAAGTGAAATATTAACACTCCCATTGCAACCCTGCTGTATAATAAATAAAAGTAGTTAAAGAAAACAAATACAACCAGCTGAACACTTGCTCTTAGATTCAGGAGTGTTGCCATGTTTTCAGTGGATCCTTGTAGCTGTACTTTTCCATTCTGACATGCAAATATTTTGGCAAGTAATTTTACTTTTCTTTTTATGCCATGAAAATCTGCAATGGATTCCACACATCTGCCTATGGTTTTGCATGCTATATGTGTTCCATTATATATATGCATATGTCTGGAAGTGGTCCCTTCCGATATGCACGCTGCATGCATGGTGGGAGACCACACATACAGAGGGAAACAATTAATTTTGAGACATAAAAACTGCATCCATAGTCACATTCAGAACTGTTAAATGGAGTCAATCACCCATAAGAATGTAAGACTTGGATAAACAGAAAGATTTGTGAACTTTAGGAATAACTTTTTTGGCAGCTCCCACACACACACACACACACACACACCCCAAACAGAACTATTTTATTTTGCATCAGATTAGTATCCAGTCTAGTACCAGATCTGTATTAGATTAGATAAATATGTTTATTCAGCAGACTGGATAAATATGATTTTCAATTAAAAAGGAAAGAAATTAGTCCCAAAAATATCCCTGTTGGATTTGATGGTCAATAATGCAAGTTTCTAGCAAAAAGATATTATGAGGACCTAGTCTAAGATTCCCAAACTATTAATGGGTTTCAGAGGATAAAGCCTCAAGATTGTTGTCAGGAATGAAAAGAAAGAAGCATCACTGAATTTCATTTCTATTTAAGAAGCACTCCTGGCAAATACCCAAAGTACAGTGGAAAGTTGAATCCAAAGATATAGCCGTGTTAGTCTGTAGAATCACTATGGACCTTATCCCACGGGGCCAAAAGCAGCAAGAATCCACTAAGAATCAGGCGCTACAGCGCTATACATTCCCGGGTGATCACACGACGTCGCTCAGAATCGGCTAAGAATCAGGCGCTATAGCGCTATAGTTTTCCGGGTGATCACACGACGTTGCTCAGAATCCGCTAAGAATCAGGCGCTATAGCGCTATAGTTTTCCGTGTGATCACACGACGTCGCTCAGAATCCAACAAGAAACCGCTCGGAATGCAGCATCATTCGGGTTCTTTTGAATGTCGGTTTCAGCGGGCATTGCAATAGCGCTAGCTTATCCATAGCGCTATTATAGCGCTAGCGCCATATTTATACTAGCGCTATAGTACTGCAATGATGCTCATATCGCTTTCTTGCCACTTTTGAGAGCAGCGTGGGATAAGGTCCTATGTAGAGAGCTCTTGTAGCACCTGAAGAAGTTAGCAGCATGAGCCTTTGTAGACCAAAGTCTACTTCCTCAGATGCATTTGCTTCTCCAAAATGCATCTGACGAAGTAGACTGAAGTGTAAGAAAGCTCATGCTGCCAACTTCTTTCTTTCTGTTAGTCTCAAAGGTGCTACAAGATCTCTCTACAGTAGAAAATGGAAGAGATAATATCAGATCAATATGTTATACATCCTGGAAATGTAGAATGAAGTGGGTTTATGGCTGCATCCGCAATGCAGAAATAATCCAGCTTGACAATGCTTTAACTGCCATGGCTCAGTGCTATGGAATTCTGGGATCTGTAGTTTCATGAGATATTTAGCATTCCCCATCAGAACTATATTTCCCAGATTTCCATAGCATTCGGCCATGGCAATTAAAGTGGTGTCAAACTGGATTATTTCTGCAGCGTGGATGCTATCGATATTAGACCAAAATCTAGTATTAAACGATGGTCCAAAACACTGCAGAAATAATTGTTTGACACTGCTTTAACTGTCTTGGCTCAGTGCTAGCGGATCCTGGGAAATGTAGTTTGTTGTGGCACCAGAGCTCTCTTGACAGGGAAGGCTCAATGTCTCACAAAACTACAGTTCCCAGAATTCTTTAGCATTGAGCCAGGACAGTTAAAGCGGTCTCAAGCTGGATTATTTCTGCAGTGTGTTTTGGACCCATGCTTACTGTAGTAGACCAATTTATGTAACACAAGCTCTCTTAAGCTTCATAGGTTCAAAAGCTCCCTCAAATAGTACTTTGGAAGCCTCAGTTGACTATCTGTAAAATGCAAGCTTACCAAAAAAACACACACACACAACCCACTCCAACAAGAAAAAGCTTTAAAACAGAATAGGAGAATTAAAAAGGAGCGCCAGCAGCATGGTGTAGTGGTTTGTGCCTTGGACTGTGACTCTGGAGACCAGGGTTCGAATCCCTGCTCAGGCGTGGTGACCCTGGACAAGTCACACTCTCTCAACCTCATGGGAAGGCAATGGCAAACAAACACCTCTGAACAAATCTTTCCAAGAAAACGCATGATAGTTTCACTTTAGGGTGGCCATAAGTCAGAAACAACCTGAATGCACACAAGAAGAAGAAGAAGAATTAAAAGGGGCTCCTTGCATGCTTGAGAGCCAGAGTAGCGTAGCGGTTTGTGACTATAGAGACCAGGGTTCGAATCTCTTGCTCAGCCCTGAGAACCCACTGGGTGACCTTGGGCGAGTCACACTCTCTCAGCTTCGGAGGCAGGCAAATGGCAAACCCCCTCTGGGAGAAAAAAAACTTGCCAAGAAAACCCCACCATACAAGTTATGCCATAAGTTGGAAATGACTTGAAGGTAACAACAACAACAACAACTTGGATGCTTGAGAGCCAGGGAGGCGGCGGCAGTCTGCGTGCTGGACTACAACTCTGGGGGACCAGGAGTGGCTTCAGCCTGGAAACCCTGGGAATTATTTGTTGCTGGTTATGCCCTGGTTATTCCCGGGATGAGCCCTCTCTAATCACGATGCCTCTTGCCTTACTTGCCCATAGAGAATCATAGGGAAATACTTGTCCATAGAGAATCAGTAGAGAATGCTTGCCCATAGAGAATCATTGGGGAATACTTGCCCACAGAGAATTACAGGGAAATACTAGTATTCCCCTATGATTCCCTATGGGCAAGCATTCACTTATGATTCTCTATGGGCAAGTATTCCCCTATGATTATCTCTAGACAAATATTCCCCAACGATTCCCTATGGGCAAGTATTCCCCAACGATTCCCTATGGGCAAGTATTCCCCAACGATTCCCTATGGGTAAATATTCCCCAATGATTCCCTATGGGCAAATATTCCCCAACGATTCCCTATGGGCAAATATTCCCCAACGATTCCCTATGGGCAAATATTCCCCAACGATTCCCTATGGGCAAATATTCCCCAACGATTCCCTATGGGCAAATATTCCCCAACGATTCCCTATGGGCAAATATTCCCCAATGATTCCCTATGGGCAAATATTCCCCAATGATTCCCTATGGGCAAATATTCCCCAGTGATTCCCTATGGGCACGTATGGCTTCCCTCAGGGCAAGTCCTGTCACTTGTTTCAGTCCGCCTCCTTTTTAATCCGGGCTTCCACCCCCGTGTGATAAAAGTCCGCATCCCTGCCCGGCCATGGCACACCCACCTTGGGCGAGCCACACTCTCTCAGCCTCAGAGGATGGCAAATGCAAAACAAAATCCCCCCCCCCCAAAAAAAACCCAAACTCTGCCCCAAGCTTTCTAAGAAAACCCCACGGTAGGGTCTCCAGAAGTCACCCAACACAAACACAGACACAGGACCCACTTGCTCACCTTTATAGGGCAGGCGGAGGCGAGGCACGGTGCCCTTGGTGCCCTTGGTGCCCTGGCAGTGGGCAAGGAGGTGCCAGGTGAGCCACCAGCAGGTTGCCAGCCCTGCAAAGAGGCCTCCCTTCATGGCCATTGGCATCCCCAGACCCCCAGCCAGCCCTCTTTCCCCAAAGACTGCTGCTTGGAAAGCCTCTCAGGGGGGCTGGGGTCCCTCTCCCGCCTCTTTCCCTCCTTCTCCTTCTCCTTCTCCTTCTCCTTCTCCTTCTCCTCCTCCTCTCAGGAGTTGGCCAAGCTTTATAGCAGCAGGGCTCCTCCTAGCTTCTTGGGAAAGGGACCTCTTCTCCTCTGGCTCCGGCTGCCAGGTTTCTTTGGGGGTCCCTTATCCTCCAGGGTTGCAGCCCTCTCCTCTCCTCCTCCTGAGTGAAGCTGGAAAAAGAAAATGCAGCCAGCCACAAAAGTACACCACTTCCCTCCTCCTCCTCCTCCTCCTCCTGCTGCTGCTGCTGCTGCTGCTGCTGCAACTCCACTGACTGGGGATGGAGTGGGTTCCCCAAACTTTGGTCCTCCAGATGTTTTTGGACTTCAGCTCCCATAATTCCTGAGTATCAGTTCCCAGTTGACTGGGAATTCTGGGAGCTGAAGTCCAAAAACACCTGGAGGACTAAAGTATGAGGAATCACTGACTGATCTTTGCCCATACAGTGGGTTTTTATTTTATTTTATTTTAATTTTATTTTATTTATCTTTCATTTTTTATCTTTATTTTTTTTTTAAAAAAACACAGACAAATAACAACAATGGCAATTATACAAATACTACATGTCAGTACATAGATTCATATGTCATTGTCCTTTGTTAAAAGCAAAATTAAAGGTTTTATGAAAATCATTAATTTTCATTTGATGATGATGATGATGATGATGATGATTGGTCTTCCATACAATTCTCTGAGAGAACTAGAAAAGATCAAACATTGATAGAAATGGGGACTGCAGTCAGGAAATCAGA